CATAAACTGAATCAACATTGGCTATGGATAAGAGGGAGAGGATAACACTCAAGTGGAGAAAGTGGACAGTCCATAAGGAGAAGTACTGGTTGCTTTTGAATTGGTTAAGGTTTTAAGTAGGTTGCAATGAATGGCACCTGGCCATCTTTCCTGTGGGATTTAGGTCATATGGTTGGAAATGTGGAATAGTCTTTTGTTGATTTGGCTTATAGCTATTAGCTGATTAATTTTCCTTGTCTTGCCTCTCCTCCACCCACTAGTCCTTGTAATTAAATGTAGGATATCTCAGAATTTTTCTCTTATGGACATGTTACAACATACATGATCCCTGAAGACATTGTGCTAAGTAAACCAGTCACAAAAAGAAAAAATAGTATAAGATTCTGCTTATGTGAGGTATCAAGAATAGTCAGATCTATAGTGACAGAAAGAGGAATGGGAATGGCCAGGGATGGAGAGAGGGAAGACTAGAGAGCTGTTGATGTAGAGTTTTCAATTTTGCAAGATGAAAAGAGTTCTGGGCTGCCTTATACTGTGAAAGGCAGTTTGGATTATTAAATTTGTTTATGTTCCAATTTAAGATACTTCATACATAATAGAAATTTAATGCCCTAGAAAAATTAAAGTAAATAAAACTAAGTAACTTTGTAAACATCTTAAGTTAAGGAAAAAATTGGATCTCTTATATTTTTATGTAGAATTGGGAATGCAGTCATTTTAGGTCAACTAAAATTATTTAAAAAATATTGCCAGTCTACTCGGTAATCTGGACTTTTCTAAATATGCCACTATAGTTTTGGGCAATAATTGCAGTTATGAAGTTAGATGAAGTACGTAGAAAATTAATTTCTCAGTTTATAAATCAAAAGTGTCATGATATTAATGCATAGCTCTTTTCAAATCACTTAGTCAATGCCAATAACAAATAAGGAAAATATATACCAGTATTGCTCTAAATATACTGTTTTTATCTGTCCTAAATGATCTAATTGAGTCAGGGAGGGACTTGGCCTGCTTCTCCAACTCTGTGGAGTTTCCACCTCCAGCTTCATTCTAAATAGCTTATATAAGATCAAGTTATTGATATCACTACTACAAAATTCATAAGCTGTGGTCCTAAAGGACACCTATGTTTTTATATTGACTTTTTGCTGTGTGCATTAAAGAATTTGTTGTACTCTTCACAAATCTGATATGAGTTTTCATATCCAACATTTTATTTCTTGGTTTCTTTGGAAGGGAAAATAAAGACTAAGAAAAGAGGTACATCAGGAGAAATGGACTATAAGGTGACACTACACATATGACTAGTTAAATCTCTTTTGACTTTAAAAGATAATGTCATCACAAGGCCAGATATATATATACATATATTTATAAACAAAATCTCCTCCATAAAAGCCATGTTATTCCATGACTGATATTCACAGCAACCATATATATCAACATGTTTTTCACAATCTGATCAGTAATCCACTAAGTATGCTTTTAGAATTGATGTATGTTATTAAACATAGCAGTCTAAACATTTGTACTTTTAAGGAAATGTGCTTAAAAATGGTTCAGTGATTTGCCCATGAGGACTATTTACAAAGACATTTATTTACGTTAGCCATAAAAAAACCTGATATCAAAAGAGATAATGCTCATGCACACACCAAGATGGCTGCATGCTCTTAAAATATTTACACGTAGTTTCTTCTTTATGAGTCTCCCACACTTTCAATAAAGTGCGCTTCCTTCCATTTTCTCCATATTTCCTTCAGTCTTATTTCTGGGGGATGCATCCTTCCATTTCTACAAATTCAGGCCATCCTTCGTATTTATTTGTATCCTTATTGTTCTTTATGTGCTGTTCAAAAGGACTTTTTGTCTTAATGCCCTTCCCACCACAGAAGACCCAGTTGTCTCTAAAACCAAGAGTAGTAATAGATGTGCTTCCCAATTCAGCAATAAGCTTGTATAAAAATAACCTATAAGCAGTATTTGTTATTTTGCTGTAAGTTGGATGCCTTGCAGATATTTCATAAATATTAATAACCATTGGGGTACTTTTTCTTCCCTCAAACTGAATGTAATTCACAAGTAAATGCACGTTATGTGTCTAAACAATTTTTGTAAATTTTTTTAGATTTTTGGTGATTATATACTCAATCTCATTCAGCATGTATGTTTTGACATTTAAAATACTTCCCTTGATTCTGTAAATTTTAAAAATAGCTATTTTACAGTTCCAGGGATTGTACAATAAATTTTAGTTTTTTTAAATAATGAAAATAAATATATCTTGTTTTACACATGAATTTTTTTTATTATCTGGCAAAGTAATATATTATGAAACTTCACTTAAGATTTTTTGAAGTATTTATTGTACTGCTTAACATGCAAATAAATTAAATCAGTGCTGTGGTTAAAAAGCAGAAGATATATCATAACATATATAGAATTTTATATCTAGATGCCAGGACACCCCTTTGATTTTAAAGACTGTAAAAGGATGGCTTTTGAAGACGCATTGAAATGTCAAGAGATGGGGTTAGGATTAGTTACCTAGAATAAACAGTACCCGAAAGGGTATTAATATTTATGAAATATCTGAAAGGCATCCAACTTACAGCAACTTACTGCTTTGGTGCAGTATATTTTTGTTTGAATTCTATCTTGTACAGATTAAATTTTTTAAGTAAAATTATAAAGTTTAAATAAAACTATAGATCTGACTATTCTTGATACCTCACATAAGCAGAATCTTATACTACTTTTCTTTCTGTGACTGGTTTACTTAGCACAATGTCTTCAGGGATCATGCCAACTTAACTTTGGAAGCAATAATTTTACTACATTTTATTTCCAGATCTCTTTAAAGTCAGCATTATAAGTGAAACAATGCTCACTTAACATTAATAATTTTCTTTATTCAAGTAGAAATTTGATGTTGACATTTCAGTAGTTTACATGGTATTTATTTAAGGGCTTGTGGAGGCATATTTTTATTTGTAATCACAGATGCTTTTCTAGAACAAATGTGTTATTATATGAATGTTAAAATAGAGTAAGAGGAAGTAGGAAATAAGTAATATTTGGAAAATTAAAGAAAAACGGAGCCAGTCTTCATATTCCTGACTTTAATATGATTAAATGAAATTTATCATTGTGGTTTCTATGTTGTATTTGTTTTTCAATGAATCAGCTAATATTTTATAATTTTATGGTAGCTGCAAATTCATTTAGCCTGTATTTTACTTTATACTTTTAAAATTTACACAGATTATAAATAATTTGACTAAAACACATAATTTTATTCTGTTTGATCCTCAAAAAAAAAAAAAAAAGAAAGAAAGAAAAAAAGAAAAGAGTTCTGGACATTACAATGTGAATATTCTAAACACTACTGAACTGTCCACAAAAATGGTCAACATTTTATGTACCCCACTGAAAACTGTAAAAACATTTGCCAATATAAAAATATCTTTAGGGTTTCTTAGTAAATGTTCCTCTCTAAATATAGTTCCTGAATTACTATTAAATTTTTCTTGTATAATGTCATTATTTATAACCTGTATAAACCTGCATAGGTTAACCCTGCTGTGACTCATTTTCTATTTGGAAAAAACAACGGCAACCCCACAGAATTATTTTAAGTTGCACACACAATGGTACACATGAAGCTCCTAGAACACTGCCTGACACCTCGTATGCTCTGAGGAATGTTAGCCACCACTATCAGTATGTAGCTATGATTCAAGGTCCTTGGTTTCTAGGACACTCTTCATTGAAGGCTAAGCCTGATACATGTTTGGAATGATGATCAGCACAAAACCCGGTTACTTGATGTTTGCCTCCGAGTGAAAACAGTCCCCAAGCAGTCCAGAAGAACCTGGTGACTGAGGAGCAGGAGGTTGGGGTGGGGCTCAGAGGCCTGCAGTGCTTCCGGGGAGGGAGGGGACCGTGGGCAGGAGTAGAAGAGCAGGAAGACCCAGCCTCCTGCAAGCCCAGCACCTTGGACTGAGAGGTCTGGGAGGGCCAAGCCCCTGCCTGAATATGAGAGTTGGGCACCCACCCCCTTGTAACGTGCCACTCAGTCCTCACCTCCTACCCAAGGAGCAGTGTGAAGGGGACAGAGATGTGGAGGCAGAGACATGGAGGTCCTTGGAGGTGGAAGGCATCCCTGCTCGCCTCTGTTGTACTTGGGAGTGTGGCAGTCCTAGGCCAGGTGTCCCTCAGCATACATTCAAAAAAGACTGCCCAACAAGCATATGACCCAAACACAGAAATTTGCTCACATTCGGACACTGCTGAAGATGGGAATCATCTATAGATTGTGGACTAATGCAGGTGTTATGATGGGTCAGTAGAGTTTACCCAGTTGAGGTCACCCCAGACGTGCTACAAGAAGACCCTGCCTTGTAGAGCCAGAGAGACCAGGAGAAAGGCATGACAGAGAAAATGCTCATTGAAGGCACAGCCTTTAATTTCATGTTGTTTATTTATAAAATGTGTTATCTTCACTTATCATGCAAGATGGGGCTCAGGTGCAGCTCTCAGCAGTGAGCAAGTTATAGGACGCAGAGGGAGAGGCAGATCATTACTTCATTTACTGGAATTTTAAGGCAGGGCTACACCTTCAAAACCATGGATTGCTGGAGATGTAGCTCAGTAGTAGAGTACTTGCCTAGCATGCACGAGGCCCTGGGTTCAATCTTCAGTCCAAAGTTCCACAAAACAAAACAGCAACAACAACAACATGGTAATTTCAAAGAGTTAGTTTAGAAATGCCATTAGGGCATTCTTTTCAGGTCACCCCAAATTGGTTACAAATGGAGGGACAAGGGTGAATACTAGGAAAATAAAATGCACTGATTTTTTTTTCTTCCAAAACAAGAATGTCATTTATTTGCTGATCAAATTGTGTGTGAAATTTAAGTTAAGAATTTTTTTGGAGAAGAATGAAGAGCCGTTGGGATCAATGATAAGCTTGTTAAACAACTGACTCTATGTTATCAAATGACTAAGGATTGCTTGTTTACTTTATTCGTTTCTTTCTCGGGATCTGTTGTCTTAATGTTAGTTTGTGGTTTCTTTGGTTTGGGTTGTAAACATTTTACTATTAATTGCCTGAAACACACAATAATTGCTGAGATGATAAATAAAACAAGGCGCAAGAGCATAACAGACAAAACCTGAATTGTTGGGGGCACCAGCTCCTTCCGTGGTCCCGGGGGTCCACTGTCAATGCTCCCTCCATACCCGAACTCCTCGCAGAATGGAGGGGCCCAGCCATACATGCAGTGGCAGTTTCTATTAGCGTTGCAAACGCCTCGGCCGTTGCACTTCTCAGGCACACAGTCAAATTTCAGGACTGAGCTATTGACACAATTTGTCTTAAAACATACCTGGTCCTCGCCACAGGATGTGCCGTCATATATCATACCTATGTCAGGTATCCCCATCGGATGCATGCTTAGATGGTAGCCTGTGCCCCAGCAGATGATATTGTCCTCTTCCAGATGGGTGGACATTATAATTGTGTGGTCTGGCAAATCAGGGATCACTTTGACATTTATACACTGCAGCCTTCCACATATCGCATTTTCCTTCTTACACTTTATATATGTATGGACATCTTCTATCGCACAGTGACCATATTGATCACCTTGTATATTAATTACCTCATAGCACTTAGTAGGAGCCTCCCTAGCATCAGGTCCAAAAATGCTTTGGCACTGCATGTATCTGGATCGGCACTTTTGATTGTAACAACGGCCTTCATAACTGCAAGGGGTCCCATCTTGCTTGTAAGTGTCAGCTGGGCACTTATCTGAGTTCCCATAACAATACTCTGGAAGATCACATTCATTTTCTTCATCCCTACACACATATCCAGATGGAAGAAAGTTACATTTGTCACAGCAAAGTCCAACGCTACAGTTGGCACCCAGTTTCAATTTACAGTCTGCTCTACAACACAAATCTTCCTCACATTCTTCTATTGAACCACAATCACATTCCTCATTCTGTTCTATAATTCTGTTTCCACATCTGCTTTTTATATAATGTGGTTGTGGGATATCATTTAGGCATTTCGCTGCTTGAGACAAGTGTTTAAAATAAAGTTCGTAACTACAATTACTAAATCCAGTTCGCCCTGTGCCCATGATGCAGCTCTTCCTACCTCTACATTGGCAGTATTCTTTATCATGTAACATTCCCACAGAATGGCCCAGTTCATGAGCAGTCCAAGTGGCAGGTCCAAGGACATTTTCATCTAGAAAGGTACTTATTGATCCAGATAAATCTGTACTACACACTCTTCCCCAGGAAAGTGCGAGGGCATCTATATATTTTCTGGAAATATATAAGTGTACCCAATCTGTAGTAATCCGAGTAGTTATTGTGTATTTTCTATATCGTATAAATTCTTTTAATACATCAGCTAAAGCCGGATGATCAGTACGTATTAGGCCTTCATTGCTCCATACTTCAATGCCTTTTAGATGTATCCTCATATTGATATCTTGATAGTAGGTGTCAATAATTGCAGTCAAAAGAATAGCATCATAGAGAATTAGAGAGAGATTATGTTTCACAAACTCAAATCTTCTAGTATCAAAGATCATGACCAATTCCAAATACTTTTGGTGTTTATAGGACATAGTATAGTCACTTATCCTAGCCATATCCTCCTGCTGGGCCATTTGCCTTTCTGTTTCATCATCAGTTAGACCACAGGTCTGATTGCTAACCTCATCCTTCAGGAGATACACAACATGTTCAAAAGTGGACGAGGCCTTGAGGGGCTCGATTTGGTACTGTTTGGCATCGATGCTCAGTACGCCTCGGAGTCCCCCCATGCATGTACTGAGAGTGGCGTCAGAGTCCTGAAATCCTTCCACCAGGCCCATATAGTTGCAGTCCTTGGGTATATAAGGGTGATCTTCCAGCAGTTGTCCCTCTTCTGTGAAGGAGAAAACACGTAGATGTTGCGGCAACAGAAGTTTCTTGGGCCACAGGTGGATGATGTGCTTCTTACCTGCTAACTGCAGGAGGTAGGCCACGGAACTGGGGACACCCTGCTCCTCTCGCCAGAAGCTCAGCTTCTTGGGGATGGTGATTTCGTAGGAGTCAAATTCCAGTTGGTGGAAAAGTAAGTCATCTCCCAGAGAGTCAAGGAGGAGCAGGGCCAGACCCAGCACGGGGAGCAGGAGGCCTTGGCACAGGAAGGTCTGCTGGGACCTCATGGTCTGTCTGTTCCCTCCTCAGGAGTTGCAGGGGCAACTCCAGCCTGGCGAGTCAGACTTCCCCGAACCGCCGCTAGAGGCGCAGGATCGCCAGGGGCGGGGTCCTCCCCGTAGAGACCGAGGGGACTCTGTCCTGGGGGCCGGGTCTAGCTGACTGTCCCAAAGGCGCGCGCCCGGTCCAACGCATCCAGTTCGTTTTCTGGGCGGTGCGTTGGGCGCGCGTGGCAGAATGGAGCGAAAGGTGCGCAAGAATCAATATGGGAAAAGGGGGCTGCTGTCCTTTGGGTTGGAGGGGAACAGAGAGCCGTTTGAGGAATGGAGAAGGAATGGAGAAATGGGGGGGAATTCAAGAGAGCTCACCTAAGGCCCGCTGTGTCCTCGCCCTGTAGTGCGTCTGTGCACCCTGGGACAAGGGTAGGAATCGGATGTCTCTTGGGCCGCTCTCCTCTCCTGACTGTGGCTGTTCGGCTGGGGTCCCCCAGCAGAAGGAAGGAACACCAGAACCCTCAAGAGTTGAAACAGACTCTTGACTATAACTGCGAATCAGAGTGTGGGATCGCAAGCTCTGTGTCGCAGCCCTTGCTCCTGAAGCAGCCCTGGCTGCCGAGAGGCTCCAGAGGCTTCAGCCGTGCGCCCAGGCAAGGGGAAGTTCCTGCGCACATTTTGCCTGGTGTTTTTTTTTTTTTTCCTGCTGTGCGTCGCCAGGGTGCTAGGCATCAGCGAGATTTGATTTCTTTGTGTCCCTGTGGTGTGGTGGGAGAAGCTAGAATAAGGACTTGTTAGTAGAGGGAAGTCCAGGAATTTTCTGAGAAAGGCAAATAGCTGGTTTTCTTTGTAATATGAATGATGGGTGAGGGATGGCTGCGAAGGTACGAAGTCCCCAGCTCAGAGGACAGAGGGACATAGCTTCCACAGAAAGGGCAAATCACAGAGTCATAAGGTGACTTGGAGGGATTCCAATAGAAGGGCAACCTTTTCAGTTTTTCTTAGGAAACTGGATCTGACTGCAGTACAGGGAATGTCATGCAGCTCCAGAAATTAAGAGAGATGTATATTAAAAATACCCAATGACTCTTCATATCATCTTGTTTTTCCCCCCACTAACATTTATTATGTATAATAATTTCTTTAAAATATCTTTTGGTTATTTTTAACAATTTAGATAATTTTCTATATAGATGCATAAAATTCTATAGTAGGCAAGTAATTATGTATTTAATTATTTCCCTTATGATGGATGATACATTTGTGTTTTGAGTTCTTTTCATTTGTGTTGTTTAAAAAGGTACATTTTAGTAAATATAGCTGTATATCTATTTAAAAAGCTGTATATGTATGAATTTACACACACACACACACACACACACACACACACCCCTTTGCTCCATGAAAGTATTTCTGTGCTGATAGGTTTCTAGAAGTGAAACTGTTAGATCAAAAAAGAATCTTAGCTCATATTGAACTCATCATTTTAAAAATTCTTACATTGTTTTACATTACTCCCATAGAGCAAAACTACCTAATAGAATGGTTTTGAAGTGATGGAAATGGTAATATAGCCCAATACTGTAGCTACTAGTCCCCACAGGCTAATGAACAGTTTAAACACGCCTAGTGCTACAATTTGGATTCGGTGTCCCCCAAAGGTCCATGCGTTTAAAGCTTGGTGCCCCAGGGTGATGATTTTGGGAGAGGGTGGAGCCCTTAGGAGGGGGAATCTAGTGGAAGGAAGTTAGGTCATTGGGGGCATGCCCTGAAGGGAATATTGGGACCGCCACCCCCTTTCTCTCTGTTTCCCAACCACCATGATGTGAATAGACCTCTTCTGGCACATGCTCCTACCATGATGTGTTATACTGCCACAGGTCCAAAGCAATAGGGTCAAATGACCATGGACTGAAACCATGAGCCCAAATAAACATTTCCTCTTTATAAGTTTGTTTTTCTAAGTTATTTTGTCATAGCAGAAGAAATCTGGCTAATGCACTGAGCAACTACTTTTTAAACTTTCCAAAATTTTAAATTTAAATCTCATCGATAGAAGGTCCATGCTCCTACAATCTTAATTTAAATTCATTAGAAGATAACTCATCATTTTAAATTGCATTCTCTTATTATTAGTAATATTGAGCATATTTGATAGTTGAAAACCAATGTTTTTTATTCTTAAATTTGCTTGCTTATATCCTTTGTTTATTCCTTTTAAAATTTGTTATTATTATCATCATTATTTTGGTACTGGGGATTAAACCCAGGGGTACTTTACCACTGAGCTCCATCCCAGCTCTTTTTTATTTTTTGAGTCAGGGTTTCACTATGTTTCTGAGGGACTTGCTAAATTGCTGAGACTGGCCTTGAACTTGCAATCCTCCTGCCTCAGCCTCCTGAGTCACTTGCATTACAGGTGTGTGCCACCATGCCTGGCTGTTTGCTTTTTTATTGCATGATTTGTTCAGCATTAATTGATTTGTTGAAACTACTTATGTATGACAAATCAATTCTGTCAGCACATTGTTTGTTAAAAACTTTCACAGTCACTTTCACCTTATAGAACTTTTTAAGTCATTCTGGTTTCTGAGTTTTATATCATTTTTCTAGCCTCCCTCAACTTAAGATATTGTAAAAAATATCTGCCTAATATGTTCTTTAAAAATATCTTCTAATCTGTCTATGATTTTTGCATGGAATACTCTGTTTTCTATCTGAGCTATGCTTCTGTATTATTATTGGATCATTATATTGAATAATCCTATAATTGACAGAGATGATATAAATGACAGATCAATAATAACAAGACAGATAATCTAAAAGGAAAAAAGAGCAAAAGATTTCTACTGACACATCACAAAAGAGAAAACTCAAATGCTCAATAAACAAATGGCAAGAATGAAAAACAGGACAGCCACCTTGGAAGGCAGGTTGGTGGTTTTTCACAACACTAAGCATATTCTCACCATATGATATGGCAATTGCACTCCTTGCTATTTACTGAAATGAGCTGAAAAATCTGCTCATGGATATTTATAGCAGATTTATTTTAATCGCCAAAATTTGGAGACAATCAAGATGTCATCCAATAGGTAAAGGATAAATGTTTGCATGGTATATTCTAACGGTGAAATGTTCAGTAATAAGAAGAAATTAATTAGCAAGCCACAAAAAGTCATGGAAGAACCTTAAAATGCATGCTGCTAAGTGAGAGAAGCCAGTCTGAAAGAATATGTTCTGTATGATTCCAGTGACATGACATTGAAAAAAACAAAACAATAAAGACAGTAAAAAGGTCAGTGGCTGCCTGAGGTTTGAGAGTGTGGAGGAAGGGGTGAATAGATGAAACCCAAGAGTGGATTAGGGCAGTAAAACCTTCAGTATGATATTGCAGTGCTGGAATATGTTATTATATACATTTGTCAAAACCTACAGAACTGCACGACACACTCTAATGTAAACCATGGAATATAGTTGATCATAACATACCGATATTGGTTCAAGAATTATTAAAAATAAGCAAAAAGCTTCAAAAGATCAATGTCATTTGATTATTAAGACAAATATCCTACTCTCTCAACCAGAATGAAGAATATGTTATAAAAATAATTACTATAAACAAGTTATGTTGATTCTATGAATGAAATAATGTATAAATATTAAAATATCTATTAATATATTTAAAAAATAATAGATTGAAAAGTATATGAATTTCTATAAAGAGTCTATAATGACTCTAATGTCTATATGACAGATGTCTTTTCCTTCATTTATCATGACTTCTCCTACTGCATAGATTGAAATGTTATGAATGATGTTGCCCAGCCTCTTCTGTAGTAAGGGTTACAGATTGGCATAGATTCTGCAAAGAGATGAATCCACATGAGACAAGCCTACATGTGCATATGGACGATGAGGGGTAGGAGTGGCTTTTAGGGAATCAGCATTTCTTGTGAACACAGTGGGTGTCCTGATGAAGCTCTGGAGTTGAGTTTCTGGCAGCAAGGTGTTAAGTGGCACAAGGTGGGGGCAGTGTCCATTAGAATCTGTATAATAGTGTTTGGACCTTTAACTGGCTCCAATTTTTTTCCCCTAGCCATGTAGCATCCAAACATTGGTCTCTGTCCTTCCTGGAAATTTTATAAATTATGGAAATATTTTTAATATATTCCTTATCCTTAATATAACTAGAGTGAATTCCACTCTTGCATACAAGACCTGAATGATGACTGTCATTTGCTTTCATGAAAAATACCTGACAAGAATAACTTTTAGAGGAGAGATTTATTTTGGTTCACAATTTCAGAGGTTCAGACCATCATTGGCTGGCTCCGAGGCAGACAAATTATGGTAGAAGGGCCTGGTGGAGGAAAGCTGTTCAGCACATGGGAGCTAGGAAGCAGAGAGGGAGGAAGGATCCAGGACATATATAGCCCAAGGTCATGCTCCCAGTGACCTGCTTTCTCCCATCATGACCCACCTGCCTACAGTTACCACCCAGTAGTCCATTCAAATTGTTAATTCATCAAGCTGGATCAATCCAGCTCTCCTAATCCAACTGTATCACCTCTGAACATTGCTGTCTTGTCTAATAAAATATCTTCAGGGGATATTTCTAGGTCCATGCTATAACAATTGCCTTGTACATGGTCAATACTTAGTACTTTTTTTTCTATTATTGTTACTACTGCTATATATATAAGAACCACCACAAGATGTGAAGAAAGAATGAATCCATTCATAATAGCAACAACAAAATACTTATATAAAAATATAAGAAAACTGTGCAAGATCTATTGGAAGGATAATTTAAAATGCTGAGTTATGCACAAAGAGACTTGAATAGATTTTTTTAGACTCAATATCTTAAATTCTCAGTTCTGCCTAAAAATTCCATAAAAGACTATAATTTCAATAGAAGTATCAACAGGATTTCTTCCATTTTAGAACAAGACAAGCTGATTTTAAAAATTGATATTGAAAGACAAGAAACTAAGGACAAGCAAATTTAC